GTAAAAATCATCACTCCTAAAAAAAATTAAATGTAGATAAAAATAAATATAAATTTACTGTTGGATCAAACATTTTTATTTAGGTTATATGGTATGTCTATTAATTTTAAATATACGAATATTATTAAATTGTAAGTATAAAACATGCAACTTAGGTAGAATTGTTGGTTATATTTATTAAATTAATACCTAATAGATTTTTAGTTTTTATTAATTTTATAGTAAATTACTGTTATTTATTSTTTACAATTAAAATTAATGTTATAACATGTTTAAAATTTATATAGTATAAAAATTATGTTTTATCAATTAATTTTAATAACAGTATATCCAGCTATAACTAACTCTGATGATGAGGATACCAATGATGTGACTTGGAAACCACCACCTAATATCTTAATTCCTGGGGACCGCTTAACACGCAAACATATCAAGTGTTTGTATCCTAAAGTTGAAAAACCTTTATCAAAGAAAAATAAATGTAAAAATAATAAGAACAACATAGCAGCAATCAAACGTTTGGTATGTAATTCATAAAATGATTTCAGTCATTGAATAATTAATTATTTATGATCTTTTAATTTACTCCAATTAGAAAAAAGGTCGTTTACCAAAAGTTAAACAAGTTTTAGAAGACATAGATGTTTCAAAGCCAGCTACTGATTTTACAGACGAGATAAATATTGAGGAATCAATAAAAAAAAAAAATTGTGATTCATTGACTCCCAAGGGTAATACAGTTAATATTATTACTATATATCTCTATTTTGCAGTTTTAATACTCAGTATTCTATTTGAAATCATACACTGTATAGAAACTAGTATTTTAAGCAAATACTTTTTAAAAAGTATTTTAAATGCTAATACTAATAGGCACCACAGCTTTAACCTTTGCACATAGGCGAAAATTACGAGCAGGCTTATCCCATAAAAATGTAAAAAAAATTTAGTTATRTGGGATCTAAGACCTCCACTCACATGTCAACATAATCATGTTAGTCCCCAGAAATTTTAATGAATTARACGCGTCTTTGTGGTTAACATTTAAAGTTGTGAATTGAAATCCCAAATATATTGTATTATTTGTATTGTTGTTTTATTGATGTTTGGTTATAATAATGTTTGTTTACAAATTTTTGTATATTTTATTATGTTTACCTTTTAGTTGGGAGACCAAGAAAAGGTATGGCTACACCAAAACAACGCCTGGGGCGTATTATAAAAATACATAAAATGATAAAATAACTATTGAAGATAGATGCCAGATAATTTATTTTTTTGATGATCGATAGATAGTAACTTATAATGTTCCCATAAAGCATTTGTATATAGATGTAAATTGAATTATAACTATCAAAAAGTATTCTTACTTTTGCAGTCATTTTGTATAAATCAAAAATTGTTATTAAAATGTATATTTTATTCTGCAATTTTTATTCAAAATAAAAATTATTTAA